CCATCATAGTGTATGTATAGTTGGGGTTATTTTTTCCAATGTGCATTACTTTACATTTATCCACATTAAATTTCTTTTGCCATTTTGTTGCCCAATCACTTAGTTTTGTGAGATCTTTTTGAAGTTCTTCACAGTCTGCTTTGGACTTAACTATCTTTAGCAGTTTAGTATCATCTGCAAACTTTGCCACCTCACTGTTTACCCCTTTCTCCAGATCATTTATAAATAAGTTGAATAGGATTGGTCCGAGCACTGACCCTTGGGGAACACCACTAGTTACCCCTCTCCATTCTGAGAATTTACCATTAATTCCTACCCTTTGTTCCCTGTCTTTTAACCAGTTCTCAATCCATGAAATGACCTTCCCTTTTATCCCATGACAATTTAATTTACGTAAGAGCCTTTGGTGAGAGACCTTGTCAAAGGGTTTCTGGAAATCTAAGTACACTATGTCCACTGGATCCCCCTTGTCCACATGTTTGTTGACCCCTTCAAAGAACTCTAATAGATTAGTAAGACACGATTTCCCTTTACAGAAACCATGTTGACTATTGCTCAACAGTTTGTTTTTCTATGTGTCTGACAATTTTATTCTTAACTATTGTTTTGACTAATTTGCCCGGTACCGACGTTAGACTTACCGGTCTGTAATTGCCGGGATCACCTCTAGAACCCTTTTTAAATATTGACGTTACATTAGCTATCTTCCAGTCTTTGGGTACAGAGTCTTAGCTGTTACTATTTCTGTATATATTATTTAAACACGAACATTGTTCTCTTGAAGAACAGTGATAGTCTAAGCAGCATTGTTAATGTCACGTGAATGCAACTTGGATGGGGGTTAGGTGCCTAAGCACTTTTGAAATTTCCACTAGGTACCTGTCAGCACCTGGAGGTTCCCAATAGCTTTAAAAAGCTGTCATTTTGTTCTTTTCATTATTGCAGTAAGACCTTGTAAGTAGTATCCATGTGTGTTGTGTGAATAGTTGCTTTATGTAAGATAGTGTGGGATGTAGAAGAAATACCAATTGTTATGAATATTAAGTACTAGATACATCGGTCTGAGATCTCATTTATGCTAAGGCCCCTTAATACTGCTTTCGCAGCACAAATGAGCCTTAAAGGGGGTGTAAGTTACACCTTTGTGCAGTTGGGAATCAGGATCATAGACTTTTCCAATAAATTTTTCCAATTGTGATGTATCGGATAGTGAGATGGGGGCTGATACAAAGCTCACTGAAGTCAGTTGGGAAAAGCTTTGGATCAGGTTAATATACTGGATCAAATCAGTAATGTTTGTTAAATTTCCCAGCTTCCTTCTAGGTGCTAGAAATGAGTCCACATCAGATATAGCACCATGTTGTACTTTTCTGTCTTGATAAGTAAATAGATTTATAAACACAAAATCAAAATGTTTTCCCCATTCAAAGGCCTAATCTGGTATTTCTTGAGCACACGTAAATTTCATTGACTTCACTGGGATTTTTGGGTGCTCAAGAACTACAGGATTGGCCTTTAAATATGCACGTGACTCTGATATATTTATCTATATAGTTATCAGCCTACCTCCCCTAGCATTCCTCCATCTATTACATTAGTCAGAATTATGTAATATAATAGATTCATAGATTCTAGGACTGGAAGGGACCTCGAGAGGTCATCGAGGCCAGTCCCCTGCCCACATGGCAGGACCAAATACTGTCTAGACCATCCCTGATAGACATTTATCTAACCTAGTATGTTACTAATTAGTAACATCCATATGTAATCTCTTTTGGCTACATCAATTTTCATCTCTTTCCTTCTTCCATGGAATGTGTTGCTCTATGGTATGGATTTTCTTAAAGCAAAGCTTTTTTATACCTTGTTTTTGTTCTTTTGGTTATAGTGTATGATAAGTGTTTGTATTTATTCCTCTAACATGAGTAACATCCATCCATATAATGTATTCTCACTACATATTACAAGGGATATATGTTGGGTTTGTGTTCTCAGTCTAAACTCTTGGATGGTATTAGAGTTGACTACTTGATTAATCTTCATTTGAACTATTTTATTTCCGCACCCTCATTATTATTGTTTTATTTTATTATTAATAATTTGTATTAGAGCAGTATCTATAGGGCTTAATTAAGGTGAGGGCCATTTTGTGCTAGATGCTGTTCATACACAATGAAAGATACAGTCCTTTCCCTGAGGAGCTTACAATTGAACATACAAAATGTTGCTAGAAGAACAAGGCCAAAAAAAAAAAAAATAGATTGGAGAAGGCATACTTTGATCCCACTGAACAAAAATAGAATGTCAGTACGAACTGATGTAATGTATATAGAGTCCGAAAGAGCAAAGGGTTGGCTTACAGCAGTCCCACAGCTACTGAATGTGCTTTAATTTGATCCTCAAGGCTCAAGCTTGGCAATGAATGACACTGAGGAATAAATGTACCATCTCTATTCCAGGAAGCATTCTAAAGTACATAGGGTGGCTTTGTGTATTTTGCTGTTTTTTTTCCCCAATTATTTTATTGTTAATGTACTCATTCCACAGGAGGAGGAACTATTTCAACTCCAACTTGTTGGCAAAGACTGGGAATGGCGTTGTAGGCTAGTGGATAATTCATGGGACTGAGAGCTGGGTTCTATTATCACCTTTGCCACTGTTCGGCTGTGTGACTATGGGCAGTTGCTTCATCCCTCTGTGCCTGTGCTTCCCATCCCTTCTTGTCTGTTTGGACTTTGGGTCAGAGGCTGTTTCTTACTGTGTGTGTGTGTGGTGGGGGGGGGGGGCGGGGGGAGAACATGCGGGGGATCAAGGCGCTATTGTAAGCAAGTAATAATAATGCATTTAAACAGACTGAAAAACAAGTTGATTCACTCACACTAAAATTGTGCAAGGCTGAGCACCTTCTCCTTGGCTCTTTCCTAGAAGCTCATTCTATAAACTGTAAGACCAAAGTGGTTTAGTAAATATTGATTCAGATGCCTCGCCCTTTTAATCATAGGGCTTTAGCCTACCCCGTCGAATTAAAATAAAATCATTAACCTGTATAGGATTCTCCAGCATTTTTCCCTTATCTTGGATCAGTTGCGAACCTGGGTCTAGTTTGCTGTGCATATGTTTTGATAAATACAATATTACTTTGTTTGTATTGTTTCTAATATCTTTCCAAGTAGAGTTCCAGAGCTGTATTTAATTTCATTTTTTCCCCATCACTAAATTCTAGAAGATTGTGTGAGATGGAACTAGCTGAGTGTAGAACAGAAAAAACTGCTGTTTCACGAAAATGCAATGACAGTCCTCTAGAGGACAGCATTGCTTTCTGGTTTTGACTTGTATTTGGGACGATTGTCGTGAGATTCTAAAGCCTAGAAGAAATACACTGGAATCTATCCCCATTTATGATACTAAGGTGAAAAACAAGCTTTGCTAGCACTTTTATATTGCCAAGCGAGTAACCAGACTTTTTAAAATTCAAATAATTTTTATTGCTTCTTTGAAAAACCTACATAGATCATTTAGAGAACCCTCAGACTAAACCATGACCACTGCTAAGGTCCAGGTTGATGAGATAATCTTATCATTCCTTAGCTCAGGGTGTTGTTGCTTCGCGTTGCAGTTTTCTGGCAGGCCAAACCGCCTCAGTGCTTGGCCTGCCATGTGCACTGGCCCTCCTGCCATTTGCTGCTGGTGGTGATGGCAATTAGCATGCGACCATACCGTTAATTATGGAGTGTCATAATGCATACTGTGGTACTATGATAAATTCAAACACGAGGGGACAGAGGGCAGCTGGGGCCAGTCTCTATCTCATCCTGAGTCCAACTCCCAAGCCTCCTGGCTCCAGTGGTGGGGCTTCACTAACATCATCTGCAGATCTAAGTTCCATTGGGTGCTGGGATTCCTGATAGCCAAGAATCTCATCCACAGATCTATGGGATTGGCTTAATCTGCCACTGCTTGGTGGGGACTCCAAGTCCTGGGGCCTCTCTGTTGGACAATTCTGCCTCTTCCTTCCCAGCCTCAGTGGTCTTCCGTCAGTTTCAGCCCACAGAGATTAACTGCCATCTCTGCAAGTCTTGGCTCATTCCTCTCCCCCTCCCCCGTCCCATGCCATTGTGCCAAGCACTTTGTTCTCCAGTTCATACTTTCTTGAAACAGTATTGCTGAGACATGAAACACTGCACAGAGGTGCACTCACAAAGGAAGCTGGCAAGAGAAGACCAGAGTGTATGCTGGCCCTGTGGAAATAGTGCTTTAATAGCTATAATAATAAATAGTGCAGTCTGAAGATAGATGTGGATCAGAAACTTATCAAAAAAACCCTAGGCATCATTGTGGACATCTCAATGCAATGGTCAACACAAAATGTTAGGATGTATAAAAAATGGGATAGAAATCAATGCTGAGAATATTGTAATGGCCTTATACAAATTAGTGGTGCACTCAATATAAACGATAAAAAAAAGTCATTTTTTTCTGGAATGGTGTGTCCACGTGGTGTATTATACCAATATTACTCGTGCATCGTAAGTGTACTACTATTGTTCTGCTGGTCAGTTTCCTTATGTAGACAAGCCCTTAGTTACATAACTGGTTTATTGTGGATTCTGGTTACATTGACCTATTTTCTTTTGTAAGAGAATCCTGCATTTTTCTAATATAATTGCACAAAAGTCAACAACAGTCTCTTCATCCCAGTCAAACCGTCCAATTCAGTTGTATGTTAGCTATTGCATCTTTTATTGATCTCATTATTTTCTTGTCACTAATTATTATAGGCAAAATCTGATTCCAAAGAAAGAATTTGAAGTACTGACAAGGTGTAGGAGGCCTTTGCAGAAAACTCGTCTTTATACTTCCCAGTGAGTTTAGGCCATGGTTATCAAAACTGGATGTATAAATCAGGTTCCTAAGTCACAATTTAAGCACCCACGTTTGAAAATAGTAGGAAAAAGATCTTCTAAATCAGCTGGTAACAATAATTTTTCCATTTTATAAAGGAAAAGCTAGCCCCTGGAGGAAAGAAATACTGTTTGCCAGTTCCCCTCTGCAGGACTCTCCTTTCCATCCAATACTACAACTAACAGAGTAAGAATGAAACGTTATTGGGACAAACTCCTTTTTGGGTGGGAGGGGCTTAGCATATATTTTATACGGATCAGATGACCGTGTAAGGGTTTCCTCTTGAAACTGTCATTTCCACTTCAGGGTGGTGATATCTTATAAAACAAGTAAACAAAAGAAGTGGCATGGAAACTTTGAAGAAGACACATCTCTTATTCAGGTGCAGTTCTGTCTGCCAGCTCAGTTAAGATTTTTTCTGTCATGAGCACAGGATATTATATATGCATATAGTTCTTTAGGGATATGAATTGCTACATATTTTCCTGCCAGTGTCTTCTCCCCCAAAGTGATAGTCAATTTGGCAGTTCTCCTCTCAGTATTCTACCTTGATTCTTGGTTCTGATAATAACCCTCCCATACTCCATAAGAATTTCCTTGGACACAAATATTTTGTTTCAGGCTCCTGTCTTTGTGGGCATAGATGATTGCAAGATAAGCAACTTGTTTAAAAGAAAATGGACAACTCCTCTGTCAGAAGAGAAGGGCAAATTTTGGGGATGATATAAAGGTGACAACGAGGATTGCCAGAACCCATCTATTTTGAAGAATCAGGCTGGCAAGTCACACAGGACAAAGAAAGGCACTAAATCTTTTTTGCTTGTCTCCGCTTGCTTGCCCTTTTAGCAGAAGATAAAAACCAGCACATGCACACATGCATGTGATAATTGAAATGTGTGCAGAGACCTACTGATATGTTGGATCTCAAAATCCAGAATAGCTGTTAAAAAGTTCCTCATCACATTGTAGCAATATTTAACAATATCAATATTGATCGAAATCAGGTATTCAGATTTCTTTCAGGTTTGAGTGCCTGCAGTGAACTGAGCCTGGCATATAAAATGGTTTCATGAGTCTTTTTTTTTTTCCTTTCTTTCTTCCCCCAGCTCTGCACAGGTCAGTCCAAGTCAATGACTCCTCCTCACCTGGCCACTTCCCACAAGGCAGGAGAATACTCATGATTTCTTTCCAAGATGTCGCATCCCATGATTCAGTCTATGAAAAATGAATCTGACAGCCCTGCTTCTTTCAGTCAGTGTCCTTTTGATGTGTCAGAGGAGAAAAGGTTGTGAAGAACCGGGTTGCTTTTCATTCATGCTCTTTTCTTTTTTCTGTTTTGTTCCCTTCCAACTTTATTCTTCTGAAAGAGAAATGGTGTAAGTTCCTCTCTAGCCTGATGCTTAGGGGTTTGCACTGGTGTAGTTACATTGGTGCAGATGTCTCTAATGTAGACAGGGCTTCAGTTGCTGGCTCCCATGTTTTATGACCTGTGGCTCTGAAATGTTGAAAATCTCTTGCAGTCAGTGAATTCTAATAAGTTGTAGGTTTGAGCTAGAGAAAGAAGGAAGGGTTGGGAAGAAGGTATAGCTCAGGCTGGATTGTGGGAGAGATTCTGAAAGCACAAATGGGAGTTAGGCATGTGACTGTTATGGAGCTAGTTTCCCCTCTCTCCCCTTTCTGGTCTCTCTGACTGCACCTTCCTAGATGTTGGGCCTCTGACCTTTACCTGTCTTGGGATGGGATCCTCATGATTCTTTTGCTATTAGACCAGACCCCTGGACACTACTTGTGTATTCCAACCACGTATTACTGTGCAGATGCTGTATTCTGTTGTCCAATACTTGGTACCTTTAGAGTGTGATTCTGCAAGATGCTGAGGCATCCTGCCCATCAACAGTAGTTGAGGCTGCTCAGCAATTTCCAGGATTGATTGCTTAAGGAGTTCAACTTCCCCATGTTACTTATTTCTCTTGATATCCTAACTCTCCCCATTTTTCATTTTAAAAAAATGTAAGCAACCCCAACCCCAGATGTGTTTGCAGTAAATTTTCTGTCTTACATGTCTGTGCGTGGGGCCTGATATAGTAAAAGCCTCTGCAAATGGCCCCCCTTCTATGTTCATTCTAACAAGCTTTAATCGTAAGCTACAGGAAGAAGGCAGAGCCAGAAAATGCATAACTCCCTCCTCTCATCTCCAGCCTGAGTTGAAGTCCCTCTTGTTTTTGTCTCAGCTTTCTTCCTGCTGCAAATCTTATTCTTGGGGGAATTCTGTGTCAAAAAATAAAAAATTCTGTGCACAATATTTTAAAATTCTGCATATTTTATTTGTCAAAATAACACTATATAAGCATGCCAGTTTCAATTATTTTGGTAATTTATTTAAAAATACCTGTCAGCAACTATGTCTGTAACAATACAGACACACACAAAAAAAAAATTCCCCCAGGAGTAGAGAGTTAAAGAAACCCCTACAACAACCTAGTTCATGTTTCTCTGCCCCCCCGAGCCCAGCTGGAGTGCCAGACACCCACATCCCCTCCCCCCAGAGCCTACTGTGGGGTGTGCCCCGGCTCAGATACCCGAACCCCCTACCCCTCAGAGCTAGGGTGACCAGACAGCAAGTGTGAAAAATCGGGACAGAGGGTGGAGGGTAATAAGAGACTATATAAGAAAAAGCCCCAAATATCGGGACTGTCCCTATAAAATCAGGACATCTGGTCACCCTACTCAGAGCCTAGCTGCAGCCTCCCTCCTCCAGCCCAGACACCAAAAGAGTCTGGGGATGAGGTGGACCGAGTGAGGGAGGGAGTCTCAAGTAAAACGGGTTGTATGGAAGAAAGCACAGAACTGAGAGCAGAAGAAGGGCATGAAGGTATAAATATAGAATGTCATTAAAAGTGTGTGACTCATCCTGCCATAGTAGCATAGTGCTGAATTTATTTGCAGAAGTACGCAGAACAGTAAACCTCTGGTAATACTATAATGCATTTGCAAATAGAGCTTTTCCATAGCTGGTTAATGTTTTATGCATCTTTGCATTTTAGCGGCATCACTAAATAGCACTTTGATTTTTTTTCTCCCTACTTTTCATTAGGATACAGTTGTTTTTAGATGAAAAGTCAAGCCCTCTATTGAACCTTGAGTGCTGCAATTTTGTTTGCTGGGGTAGAGATGAGTGAGATTTGTTTTTAATTATGTAACTAAATTTAGGCAGCAATCTGCATTTTAAGACATTGCTAATAAAAGTCTACAAATGAGAGATGCATCATAGTTAGAATTTAAAATGAGCCGGCGCACAGCTGGTGAGGCAGAGTCGTGTCTCTAATCAGGAGGCAAGAGAGATGAAAGGGCATTTTTTCAGTTTGAAAATGAATGCAAGGAATGATAGGTGGCTTAACATAACCCCCTGATGGCACTGTTTCTGATGGGATGGCAGAGTTCAGAAACAACCATATGTACTGGAGGGAAGCCCACATTTCAGTCTATCAGTGACAATAGTTCTCCTCTAACTAGATTTTTGAATGAAAAGGTTTCATTTTAATTTCTTCAAATGTAGTTCTTCTGGTTTGCCCATAGCCTCATCTGATACTTAAGGTTACAGTGTCTTCTCAGAAAAATCCAGCCTCACCGTATCTTCTGCAGATTCTTGCCCAGTCCAGCAAAGCACGTAAGCACACGTTCAACTTTAAGCATGTGAATAGCTCCCTTGACTGAATACAGGTATTGCCCATCTTGAGTGTTCAGACAGTGTAAATGTGGAGGCAAAGAGGCAAAGAGACAAACATTTCTCTGGTTTTATTTTTTTAATAATGGGACAATCTATGGAGGCTGTTCAAAGCTTCTTAAAGGTTTGGAATGTTAGTTGCAGTCCTGACAGAGATGGCTCAGTGGACAGAGTGCAGGTGAAATTATCAGAGCTGCACAGTAATTAGCATGATACACTGAATTTATCATATGATGTTGCCAATTATCACCATCCTGTTATCTGGTATGGTAATTTGACATGTTAATTCAGGGCTCTCTTCAGCACTACTTAGCTATTGCAAAACTCTCATTGAAGTATAATGCTTTAATAAAGTAAAAGGGAGGTTGCCAGAATAAGGAGTGCTGAATTTTGTGCCCTTAACCTTTCTATAGGAATCTGTGCTAAAGTCTTCAACTTGGGGAATATTTGTTTTCCTTTTTAGGGTGATGTGCAACCCTGGAACCTAACAGTCCACCTGTGTTAGTCTTTTCTGCCCCATATGATGAATTCCATTGAATAACATTTATTTTCTCTAAATGAGATACTATTTTTCAACAGGAAAAGCTGAAATTTCAAGGTTCTAGAGCTGTGAAGACAGGGGTTCTGGAACAATTTGTATACTGGGGGTGCTGAGAGCCATTGAACCAAACTGTAAACCCTGTGTATGATGGAAATGACTTCTGCACCCCCTAGTTCCAGCATCTTTGTATGAAGAGGGGGATATAATGAAAAGCAGTCTATTGCTCTGAGTTGATTTTACTGAAGAGGCATTAGTAGATACATATGTCTGTGTTTTGTGTGCAATTTTTTAATGGATACATTTAATGTATTATAAATAAAATACAAAAAAGGTACTGGAAACATACCCAATTATATAAAATATGCAGAAGAACACCAAGAGGGATGTGGATCATAGAAAGAATTAATATGAAACATAGAGGCTAACCGCAGATTCAAAATGGACCTCTTGAATTTTTGCATAAGAACCTGTGAATTTTCATGAGACAGAGATGTAAAAAAGAATTTTATATAAAGATCCCTATTGACCAAATAAAGTTCTACCATTTACTGACTATTCAGTGATTACAGGTAATGTTATTTTAAATGCATCCATGAGTTGTAATAAAGAACCTAGAATATTAACTATTTTCATACATCATTTACTGGATAGAATTTATGAACAAATAGCTTAGCGAGTGTCTAGTTCTTGAATTTTCGGTATTATTAGATTAATGGATCCCAAAGCCAGAAAGGACCATTGTGATTATCTAGTCTGACATTCTGTATAACACGGGTCATAGAACTTCCCCAAAATAATTTCTGGAGCATGTCTTTTAGAAAAACACCCAATCTTCATGTAAAAATTGTCACTGATAAAAAAAAATCCACCACAAGCCTTGGTAAATTGTGCCAATGTTTAATTACACTCCCTGTCAAAAATGTATGCCTTAGTTCTGGTCTGAATTTGCCTAGCTTTGACTTCCAACCATTTGATTGTGTTATACCTTTCTCTGCTAGACTGAAAAGCCCATTATAGACTAATCAAGTCACCTCTTAACCTTCTTTTGGTTTAGCTAAATAGGTAGACTCAAAGAGATCAATCACTATAACACAAGTTTTCTAATCCTTTTGTTGTTCTTCTCTGAACACCCTCCAATTTGTCAACTTCCTTCTTGAGTGCTGGACACAGCATTCCAGCAGTGGTTGCACCAGTGATAAATACAGAGGTAAAATAACTCTCTACTCCTGCTCAAGATTACTGTTTGTGTCCCATGATAACATTAATTCTTTTGGCCATAGCATCACACTGGGAGCTCATGTTCAGCTGATTATCCACAACAACTCCCAAGTCTTTTTCAGATTCACTGCTTCCCAGGATTGAATCCCCCATTATGTTAATATGGCCTGCATTCTTTGTTCCCAGATGTAGACATTTACACTGAGTCATATTAAAACACATATTGTTTGCTTGTGCCCAGTTTACCATGTGATCCAGATTGCCCTGAATTAGTGACCTGTCCTCTTCATTATTTACCACTCCCCAAATTTTTGTGTCATCTGCAAACTTTATCAGTGATGACTTTGTGTTTTTCCAGGTCATTGATAAAAATGTTAAATAGTGCAAGGCCAAGAACCGATGCCTGATACATTACATCAACTTGTAATGTCATAAAAATAATTTGACAGGAGCTATTTTCCATAAAATCATGTTGATTTGCATTAATTCTGTTACCTTCCTTTAATTCTTTCTTTATTATGAGTCCCATATCAGCTGCTCCATTATCTTGCCCGGGATCAATGTCAGGCTGACAGGCCTGTTACCCAGGTCATCCTGTTAACCCTTTTTAAAAATTGACCCAACATAAACTTT